CGAGCCACAATAAACCAGTACCAGCACTAAAACAAGTGGAAGACAATGAAAGCACAGGTAAACAACAGTGTCTTTCATTGATGCACACAACTTTTTAAAAGGAGCAAAGCGAGCCATTGTTATTTAATCAGCACTATTTATTTTATGTGTGTGTGTGCATTTATACTACTAGAATATGAGCGTGACCAAACAAATAAACGCCATGGCATATGATTTATCGCCACAGGTGGCAACCAAGTAATATGCTAATCTCAAATATGAATGTAGTAACTGGTTAAATAAAAGACGTTCCTGAGAGTTACACCTTTAAAGCACTGCATGTACAAGCTAAGAGCATCTCCAGCTACAGATGAGGAGCGATTTTTCTCAACTAAGCACAACTACAACAATCTGCATTAAGCCGTAACAGAGCAGCCTCCATGTTTATATGTTTATAATACAACTGATAGAGAGCTGGCTTCATGTACAGCTTGCATATAATCAGGGGTTGCTTTGAAGCTTTGAAAGTTACACATTTTAAAACCATGAATGGGAAGAGAGGATGTTGGAAGGATGACCTCACCCTGATATTGTAGTGGTTCATTCTTACAACAAAGGGTTGCTACACGGGGAAAGGCTGCCACCTATAGGCCAACACAAGAACTGCTACTATCTACTATAAAAGTGATGTCATAGTTTAAGAAAGAAAGTTAGAGAAGGGTAGGAAGGAGCGACAAGGGGGGGCACGGGGATGTGATGGAGAGAAAACAGGAAGGAAGGATAAGAGAGAGAGGGAGAGAAGGTGATGTCATATTTTCAGAGGCGCCGAGGCTCCTTTGTCCATACGCTTTCATTAAACTGCAGAGCGACGTGGTGGATTTGAACACACATAGGCGTACAAATTACAGAGGTAGGCGGGAATTTGTGATTTTATATGGAACGTTCGAACTCACAAATGATAATGTCCAACCTGTCCTCATCTTCCATCTGGCCAACAGCGCCATGCTATTCACGAGCCTTTTTCTATGTTAGTCATACTACACAATTCCACCTTTGATACACTCCTGACAATTTCATGCCTTTGTAGAAGACTGCGCATCATTCCATACAATACCATTCAGCACAATCGTCACCTCTACCAAGTGTAATCTCACCTGATTCTGTCCATGACCGTCCATTTCTTTCTAACAATCTCACACTGAAACGCAACGACTGACTGCAGATTTTAACTCCGACAGGGACGGAGGGACGAGGACGGCAGGGAAAGAGAAAAGATACAGGAACGCAAACAAGACACGGATAAAAAGCAGAGCTGTGGAGGATAGAAACCAAACTAAGCCTTTAGCATTAGCAGTAAGACTCTGACCTTTAACATACTTTGTTGAGAGAGAACAGAGTGGAAAAAAAGGCGTATGAAGAAAAGCAGCGGTCGTACTCTGAGGCTTTATGAATGTAAGATAAAGGTATATTTTGGGCTACAGCACAGGGTAAAACAACACCTTTTTCTCGCTGTGAATGGAAGAATTTCTCACCTTTTCTAACCTGTTATATGTGAGACATGCAACTAACAAAGCTTGCATACGTGTAATGATGGCCATCAGCATTTTTCCTATTATAGGGAACCTATTACTGTTCCCTATTCCGAGCTCTGTTTGATGTGACTTGCATAAAGAAATAGTTTTTTACAATCTCACACACGTTCACATCGTTTCTATCTCCCTCTGACTACTGGAGTGCATCTAGTCTATGGCTGTGGCCACGTTTCTGTTAAGGTCAGCTTGAATGACAGCAGAGAGATGGCCTTTACATTGTGGAAATATCTGCATTATTCTGTCGCAGAGTTATAAGATGTATTTTTTTCAGCTGCCAGGAATCTCTAAACGCACGCGCCCTCAGCAGGTAAATTTATGTGTGGCAAATAAAATCGCATGTTTAGGGCTGCAGGAAGTTATAAGGGAAGATTTACTAACATGCTGCACCAGCACAAACTTGGTTTTGCCATTTAAAAAAAAAAAATACTGTCTGTATTTACAGTGAGGAGACTGTAAGAGGTGGGAACTGAGACTTTTTGCGGCTGATCATGTTGCATATGCATTTCTGGGAGTTCCTTTCTCAAGGTGCTAAATATAGGAGGAGGAACAAAGAAATCAAGCGCACAGACTGATTCACTAATGTTTGAGACGCGTCATTTCCTGCCAACTGCTCCGCTATTTATTTTAAAGAAATAATGTGTTTAGTTTATGGAAGCCCGTTTCCACCACTAAAAAAATAAATAAACAATTAAAAACAAAAGTATTCATAACTCGAAATTTCAAGTTATTTTCTTGAAATTTCGACTTATTAACTCGGAATTTTGAGAAAAGTAACTCGAGTTAGCGCTGCCAATCAGTAATCTATGTGAATGACGTCATTTCCTTGTTACCCGGAAGCTGAAGCCCTGAGCTACAAATGCTACAGCTAAGCTACCAGTGTCACAGCCAGTCATGAATGCACAAATTGCTGAGTATTTTCACCGTGGCTTCACAAATGATTAAATCCTTGTGTTATTAGCTGAATCACATGGCGTTACTATCAGCAAACATGCTCTCAAAAGCGCCAATTTGTTGCGATCCGGTTTTAAGAGCGCATTCCTCTGCGCCATATCCTTCCAGGTAATAAGAAAATGATGTCAGTCACATAGATTACTGATTGGCAGAGCTAATTCGAAATCTTGAGTTAGCTTTTAGTTTGAAATTTCGAGAAAACAATTAAAATTTCGAGTTATTTTCTCGAAATATTGTGCCTGCACACTCATGTGTGTCCACACATTTCGACAGAAACAGCGGATACTTTTTTTAGTGGCGGAAACAGGCTTCCATAGATAACAGCACAACTTTTTTAAATCACGTGAAAAACTAAGCACACCTATTGAGCACCATTTGGGGATCATGCTCACATGCACATCTCCATAAAGACCCTGGAGTCAGAAAACTGTTCTGGCAAAGAAAAAGTTAAAAAAAAATAAATTGTGAAATAGCAGCTTCACATCAAAGTACGGCGTCAGACAGAAAGAAAATGAACCTTCGTTTCAGCAGAGTAAACATACCACCGGGGCACACACCAGGGAGACAAATGTATACGACAACATCAAACAGGAGTGCATCCTTTCTAAACGTATTCAACCATGCAAAATATATGCAAACAATAGAAGACAGACATTCAATTAACTTTCTTCTGACCCTCATGTGTATTTATATCCAATTTTCTCTTTTAGTGTTTAAAGTCTGCCTCACAGGCACATGCTCTGAATGATTTGAGCTTTCTGCTGCGTAAGATTATTAAGGGTTTCCTTTCCTTTCCTACTTTTCCTGCCCGGTCGCTGTGCAGCCGTGCTTTTAACATGAGGAGGAGACAGAGAGAGTCTTCACCCAGAGATTACAATAATCTAATACCCATAACAGCAATATTTAACCTTATTACCAAAGAGTGTATTACATTACACCCTCTTGCATGTATATCTGCTGAGGACTTTAAGACAACCAGAGAAGCAACATGTGCTGTAATCAGATTGAGAGGCAGGAGGATGCTACCCTTACAAAGGTCAAAGTGGGAATAGAAAACAACTGTCTGAATACAAACAAGTTTTCTCTACACTCTCTTCCGACTGCAGCCATTCCACTAAATTTAAAAAAAAATCCCAAATTAAATTAGCACAGAAAGTCTAAAGCTTCAGTAGATGTGTGACAGGATCTGTTACGAAGTGGAGGGGCAGGTGACAGACGACAAACTGAACAGAGACGCGTTACGTCAGCAAGGAGCAACGCACTGAGAAGAGAGAAATCAAGGGTCTGGCCTAGCAGATGAGGAGAAAAACTATTGGCCTGTGGTCATGGGCTTACTGTGTCTTGTGTGTCACTTTGAATGAGTGGGTAGATCTGCATTTTTGAAGTGTGTGATTAATTTTGCTCTATGGCTGTGGAGACCCCACGGAGAGAAAGAAAAATGCCTAAGGGGTTTACTCCGTCTTCTTCATCCGTCTTGGCGCGTGTCTATTGAAACACACACACACACAACAACACAAATACTCACACTGAACACATAACTAATCACACAAAGCCAGGCACAATCAATTTTCCTTGTGACAAACATGAGGTCACAAACATTCACCAGAGTATCATATTTAACCGACTACAATGCAAAACTCAGTGTCATATCACTCTCTGCGTTATCGTTTTCACCTGTGTCGGTCTATCACACCTGCGCACACTCGCAACGAAACCCTCCTGAAAGACGTCCCGTAATCTAGTACCGAACATGGCCAGCGTCTTCACGCAAAACCGAAGAATGAAAGGCAGCATTCACTATATCAGTTTTCTCTAACGAGCTGTAATCTGAACCATGTACGCTCTCATCTATTTTAAGTCAGCTTAAAGCATGTAAATGACTGCTGTAATCATGGCGATGAGAAATAACAAAATCCATCTGGTTCCTAAAGACTGGCAGACTGCAGACGTGAATTAAAATGCTTACACTGCACAGTTCATCCATAGGTGTTTTTAACAAGTTCAATTCAATGAAAAATAAAACTCACCAACCAGAATAACATTTAAGGTTCAGTGTACTTATAGAGCAAGACCGCCCTCTTGTGTTTAATAATAATATTGACATTAATCCTATAGACATTTAACAATAATAATGATATTTAAATGTTTTAAAGATTTGTGGTGGCCTTTTTTGCTTTTACTAGCTGCACAGTGGAGAATAAACAGGAAAGCAGAGAGTGTGGGGGAAGACAATCGTCAAAGGCCCATGGGTTGGAGCCGACCCGGAGCGCTGCCCCTGCTCAAGCAGTGAGCTAAACTGGCACCCAGAATAATTCCATATTTACCACTGTAGCTGTTCATCCATTTATCTTTTGTCTAAATATAAAATACATCCAATATTTCTATTGTCACGTTATGGTATAGGCAGCTTCCTGTTGGTACTGTTGACTTCAAATCAACAGAATTAATACAACATAGTACAATTACATCATTTCTTACCAGTCATCTTGTATCCGCTGGCAGCCAGCTGCCCAGCCATGTACTCCCCATCTGAGTTGTTATGACTGCAGCCCCATGTTTTCATCCAGATCTTTTGGGTACCAGGGATCAAACTAAAAAAATACACAATACGTCCATTGTAAATTATCCTGATGTGCAAAAATCGATGTCTAAACCAAACCAGCTGACAAAAGGCTGTCTATTGTAAATTTGCTTTATTACCCATGTGTGTTGGAGGAAGTACAAAGGTGCTTTTACACCAGCTGCTGTCAAACTAAATGTCAAGAGTAAATATCAAACCACCCTGATAAGGTGGCTTTCCGATTCAGTGGGATCTTGTGTAGGGCATTTGTGGCTTGGAAGCTTCTAAGGTTTTTGGTATAGCTGATGTGTGCTATTGGTGTCATTTCCTCTGTTAGATAAGAAATGCAAAAATTAAGACAACATGAACGTGGAACAGCAGCATGTACAGCGACTGTAATTTAGTTTTCCCCAGCATAGCCATGTAGAATGTAAACATGCTCAACATGACTATGGGATTTTTCTAATCTATCCGATTACTGAAATATAAATATATAAAATATTAACATACAACTAATCAGAAGAAAACAGTTTGCAGTTAGATTAAATTATGGGGTTTATTTTATTTTTTTAAGTAGTGGAAGAAACAATTCAGTTATAACAACAACTAGAAATGTAGTTGAAGAAACAAACACTCTTTCAAACACTTCAGGAAATTCAATTAAAAACATCACTCACTTGGAAAACTAAGTAAACACCTTCAGAAATCCCCAAAATTGTGAGCTTCCAGACCAGAAACCTCTCACACAGGGTACAATCGATAGAACAATCAAGAGAACACTGGTAAAAATGCTGGAAATGGAAAACTTTTGGTTTTGTTGAACGAGATGCTTGGAGGAATTTAGAAATAGCGTCCAAATCGTTTGCTTAGCACTGTAACTTTTACAGAACTCTAAAAAGTGTCAGCAACGCATGCAGCTGAGTTGTGATTAATAGAGCAGTGTCTTGATTTAAGTTGCAAAACACTTTGTGAAATACAGTCATTTTCCTTGTTACTAAAGTGTTTGGATCATTATTCCAAGTTTCATAGCTCTAACATGAGAGGAATTTGCCTCGGATTCGACAAGCTTAAACCAAGATGTCTAAAACTAAACGTGCTCACAAAACCTTAAATGTGTGTGCACAAATAACCTGATACACTCATCTCAAGTGGAGTTTTGAGACTAATTTCACAGATCAACAAACATGAGATGCGTTCAAGTCCCAGTGTGAAACTGGGACATCTGTACTTCCACTGCATACCTACATTTCTTTCTTTTTTCTTTCTTTCTCTAAATAAAGAGAACAGATTGTCACCACTATACTACAAAACATAATCTATGTTTCAGCCTACATTTGTGGATCTGTGCAAAGCTGGCAACATGACATTTTTCTAAAAAACCCCAAATGAGCAGGTACGAAAAAGCATTAGGGCCACATGAAGAAAAAACATTATTGGTCATTTTGAGAAAATGTCCAAATGTGGCGATTAAAGTTGTTGTTTCAAGAAAAACTGCCATGGCTGCTACACCCTCTACAAAATGCCGGTGGTTAAATCATAAAGAGGATGTATGTTGAATGTGTTTTAGGCTTGAATTCCACAACTATAATCTCCACATGGGAGTAGGCTCAAACATTTCAGTGCACTGATGTTAAGAGATGGGTGGACAATTATTAAAAACCATCTAAAAGACGTTATTCCTTCTAACATGAAGCCAAAATACACTTTTTTCGCTGACAAAAATATCTACTTATACATTTTTTTAATACATGGTTAAATTTTTTATTTTTAAGCCAACAATTTCCATTTTTCCCCCCATGGCAGTAACATAATATCAAACACTGGACACACCTGTCAGCTTGAAGCTCCTCATCGCTCATGAGCTCTTTCTTCTTCCTTGCCCTTGGTATGATACTTTTTCTAGCAGACTGTCTTTCATGAGGAGTGGGGTCACTAGAAGACACCATGTCCTCGATGTCTTCCATCAGAGAGTCACAAGAAGACGGCATGATGATCTGGAAATTAAGCAAAGCTTTAGTCAGCCTTTTGGAGTAACCTAAAAATATATAATGGCAGAATCCCTTTAAGAAAGCTCCATGCTTCACTGCTGCCTGCAGACTCTCCTTCATTTAGCAGATTTCAAGGTTTTTACTCATAAAGGCGGAGTACCTGCAAAATTCTTGGTATGGTTTTGTGGACACTTTGTTTTGTTCCTAAACTGTTTTTCGCAATGGTTCAAGATTTGGATATGAAACCTCTTCAGCAATGTTATGGCTGACTCTTCCTCAGTCTCACTCCTTGTACCTTGTACTGTTTTTTCATTAGTACCCGTTTTAGGGTTTTAGGAATGCAAAGGCTACGTGTGCAGGAACAGCATTAGCATTTGCAAAATAAGCATGATTATTAGAAGGATTTATAGATAAAGAAAAATGCAGTGTGCAAATTATGGATTAAAGTATTACTTTAAAAAAAACTATCAATACAAGATCTTCATGACCAGTGAGTGCGACATCCTGAAGTACAGTACCTCTATCTACTGATGCACATGTATTAATTACCGTTACGTTATGTGTTCTTCACGATAAGTAGATGAAAAGCTGCATGGCTAGAGATACAAGCTATGCTGAATATGCGCACACATCACTTAAACGCTTACTGGGTTCAAGTTGTACAACTTTTATACAACAGATCACGTTTCACACTTATGAGCTGGTTTTAGTTTACCCTAAACGAGGGTTTACACAGGGAGGCTAACATTAACGTAAATTTAAACATTTAAAATGCTTCATTTGACACTTATTTATCCCTCTTCATTGGTTTTACTGGTTAACAAGCGCAGGGTAGCGTTTATCTTGGCTAGCCTCATTGGCTAGCTAGTACCCACGTGTCTCTTATTCTGTGCAGTGCAGACAGTCCCAATAAAAACATTAAAGTTTCTTACCTTAGTCGCACTGTAGTTGTAGCCTTCAGCTGAACTCGAATGCCGAGGGCAATATGCTTTAAAAAAGGCACACGATGATTATTTACGCCACCAAAGCAGTCACCACAACCCTTAGACCGCCATACTTGTCTGTAAGTACGGAAGGTAAACAGGGACAAACTGTATAAGCGCGTGTTTTTCTCAAGTAGTGGGTGAATAAGTTCAGACCAAATGAATACGGGTATGATTCAGTGTCATGTGTGGATAACACTACATATACGGTCACCAGCCACTTCATTAGGTATACCGGTTCAGCTGCTCATTTAAATGGTAAATGGGCAGGTTCTCATACAGCGCTTTTCTATTCTGAAAACTCAAAGCACTTTATACAACTTGCTTCCTTCACCCATTCCCACCCACACAAGCACTTTTCTCTTTGTAAGTGCTTTCTATCTATTGCCAGTGCATTGACACTCCGATCAGAGAGCAACCTGGGGTTAGTATTTTGCCCAAGGATATTCAGCATGCAGACTGGGTCTGCAACCTTCTGATTAGTAGATGACTTGCTCTGCGTCCTGAACTATAGCCTCCCCATCAGACTGGATGCATGTATGTTGAGCCCCCTTCTCTTCACTCTGCTGACCCACGACTGCACACCATCACACAGCTCCAACCTCTTCATCAAATGTGGTGGGTCACATCAGCAACAACAATGAGACCTACTACAGGAGTGAAGTTAACCATCTGGCCGAGTGGTGCAGCAACAACAACCTGTCCCTTCAGGAGAACTCGCACCCTGCACATCCCACTAACCATCAACGGTGCTGCTGTAGAGAGGGTAAGCAGCACTAAGTTCCTGGCTGTGCACATCTCAGAAGATCTTCCTCTGCAAAAGTGAGGTGAGCAAGAGCCTCAACCACCATTACGAGCACCTTCTACAGAGGCACCGTTGAGAGTATCCTCACCAGCTGCATCACTGTGCGGTATGGCTCCTGACGGAAAAAGTTACAACGGGTAGTGACAGCAGCGGAGAAGATCGTGGATACTTCTCTTCCCTCCCTCCAGGACATCTACTGCACCCGCCTCATCCGGAAAGCCCTCTGCATTTCAGGTGACTCAACTCATCTGTCCAACTTCTTCAATTTGCTGCCATCAGGAAGGAGACTGAAGAGCCTCCGGGCTAGAACCAGCAGACTGAGACACACGAACTCCAGACCTGCATTGACCTCTTCCCTCTGAACCCCCCCCAAACATACAAACTCTGAACCACCACCATTTGCACGCCAACTTGCCCACAATCACTACGATTGTGTTGGACACTGCTGTTTAAATAATTGTATAGTATTGTACAGAAGACTTATCTTTATATTGTTTTAGTGCACACTGAGGGCCAATTCCTGTGTATGACTGTACATAGGGTCTTTGACAATAAAGCTGACTTTGATTTAGACATGTAGACACGGTCAAGATGACCTGCTGAGTTTCAACTGAGCAGAATGAGGAAGAAACATGATTTATGTAACTTTGAATGTGAAATCCCAGACAGGCTGGTCTGGGATTTCCCCCACACAACCATCTCCTGGGTTTACAGAGAATGGTTGGCAAGTTGGTTGGTTTGTTAGTGTAAACAAATTACTGATGTCAGATAACAACAGCCAGACTGATTCAAGTTCTCATGAAAGCAGTTACCTGGATGGACAGCCAATAAATCTGCAGCAACTGTGTGAAGCCATCATGTCAATATGGATCAGAATCTGATGTTTCCAGTTCCCTGTTGAATCGGTCTTACAATTACAACATCCCCGAAGACACAAGGAGACCTAACCTGTACAATTAGTAAGGTGTAATTAGTGGCAAGTTACTATACATGTTTGAACCTACAGACTTCTAATAGTGCAGCCAAACTTTCCACCATAGTGCAAACTACTCCCTGAAGACGCATCAAGACAAAATATACATTTCCTCATTTATATTTGCTTTATTCAAATTTTCAATTACAAATGCCCAGAGTACAAAAAAACAAATTCATTTATCCCCCCCTACCCCTCCAATACACACAGACACGCACACACAGCTCAAATTCCTCATTTTAACAGATGTACATAAACAAGCATGTAACTGAAATACACACATCAAAAAACATCAATTTTATCTCCAACATTCATGAGCTCTTTCACCCATGCCTTCACATCGCAAACTGCTCTCTGTTCTGTAGTTAGCAAAAACAGGCAGAAATATAATTTTACAGACAATTCTTTCTAATCAGATTTTTGTTTTTTGTTTGTTTTTGTGTCTTTTTTTTTTTCATAAGCTTTACAGAATATTCACTGATCATTACACCGTATTTGGTAACAGCTCAAGAATAACCATAAGAAAATAAAAACAAAGCTGTTTCAATGTGGACCATAGTTAGCATCATACTTAGCCTAACGATACACTTCAGTAAGATCTAATCACACATTTCGAAATGAAAAAAAAGTTGCAATTTTAAGTCACTCATTATTACCAGACACTAGCTTTAGCAGTGCACGAAATCTCCAACATTCCATTAGAAACCAATGGAAAGGTACAATCTTTCCACCACACACACACACACACAAAAATCCCTCATGTAAAAGGACATAAAATATAGCAACCAGATTCTGGTTGCTTGAAATCCTTGGGGGAAAATATTTTACCTACTGTAAACTGGAGAGTGGGTGTTTAAACTTTGCATGAATACATGTAAAATACACCAATATAAATACGCCTGTAAATCAGGACATTTTTGTGCATTTTGTAAAGATTGAAATAATGAAGAGACTGGATGTTCTTCTCAGAGTTGAGGCTATTCTTTAACAAGTCAACATGCTTTTCCTGAATTGCCCCCATCGTGCTCTTGCGTCAGAATTTTGCAGATGTGAAATGCTTCAAAAGAAAACCCAACAAACAAACAAACAAAAAGCAGCACAAAAAATAAAGTTCATCCAAACAACAAAATAAAATAAAATTTGCATTCGAGGATTTTCTTCTGTAACCTCTCGGTCACTGTGTAAAACACTTGCACCTAGTGGCTAATTTGGCAGACCCTAAAAGAATGCACAACCGTGTATTTTTAATACAGTCCAAAGTGATGTTCTCATTTACATATTTTGCATTTCTGTTGTCAGATAATGTCACCTTGCCTTTTTCATGCCAACTAGCCATTTAGTGCAGACTGTGGGGATTATTGGGAGCGGAGTATTCAAGGCACACAAGTGCAAGTTTCAGACAAAGTGAACAGAAATGCTGCAGCAACGTACGGTATAATGTGTTCTTTGAACATTAAAGCACGCAAACATATTCTAGCTCCTTTAGCAATAATGAAACAGAGGTTGTACATGAACATAATAGGGGCACTTGGAGAGGCATCACTACTCTCCAAAAAACTGAGAATTGCAAAAATGGTAAGGAATATCAGGGGGGAAGTTTCCAAAAGTTCCTACACACTTCCAACAGAGAACAGCCAAACCAGGGATGCGAAAAACACAGAAATGTCTCTGCATGACCAGATAGACCAACTGCGAATCACTGCCTGTGTCTAAGTGGTGCCTCTCCATTTAAAAAACATAATTAAAACAAAAACACTGAAACAGGAGCTAAATAACTTATTGGAGAAAAAACAAAAACGACACACACTAAAAAAAATATTGCAATACATTCATCCACTTTTCTATGCTTCAAATGTGCACCCCAGTGGTGAAAATTAATATGCGACAGTATGAGTCTGGCTTTTGGCCAACGGTATTCCCACTATAATGTCGGGGTTTCCGACATGACTGCTAAATAAAACGCGGGCAATTCCTAAAACAAAAGAATTCAAAAATCATACAAACTATGGCATTTATCTCTTAACGCCCTATTTTCTATTTTGCAACATTAAGTGAGAGGTAGCCTACAGTACCTTGTGCACTGAAAAAAATTAGAAAACTGTACATCAATTTACACACGGGCAGGCTTACTCTTTAACGCAAGCTCGACTCTGACATTAACTCACACACGTGATTCCTCAAGCACACGTCAATCAGGTCGGGCGGGGATAAGTCAACAATAACAGCAGCAATATCACCTGTGATCTCTAAAAGCCAAGGTCTCTTTGCACTTCACTATTACAAGGGATGTAATCAGACAAGCTACTGGTAGTGAACTGTGATGGTGTTTCTAATACCTAAAGTGGGAAAAAAATTACATCCTCTCAGCTTGTTTTTCAGCAAGTAATCAAGCCTTTTTTGCTGGCTAATCACGGTAAATTCAGTAGCTCTAAACAAACACAAGTCACTACGGTTTAGTTGCGCTGAATTCACTTAAATTACAAAATAGCTGTTTTGTTTTTTTTTAACATTTTCTTACAGAGGAAAAAAAGCCCTTCATTACATGCTGAAGTTTAAATAAGTGGCTATCTCATCCTGTTTTTTTTCCCTTAGATGACCCAAGACGTTAAGTAATTTCTACAGTTTTAAAATCCATTAAAATTCAACAGTTATTGAAGCTAAAAAGAGCCAACAACAGTCTCAGTACACACCGAGCAGGAAGTGCGCACAGAGTGGTAAGTGATTCGAACACAAGTTTCTCTGAATAGCTCAATCCACAGTATAATTGCACTGCACACAGTCTAAGTGAGGAGGCATTAAGGGATTCAGTTATGCCGGCTACTGCTGATGAAGATGGGAAAGGTAAAAAGCAGCGAGAGTCGAGGCGTCAACTGCCAAATCAAGAGTATAGGGTGGAGATGATTTTTAAGTTTGCACATCACGTGTTCAGATTTACCCACTGGCAAGAAATGATGGCTTTTCCAGCTTCCTTTAGCAACTTAGCAAGTTGTGTATTTGTCAGGAGATGAGACACTGGAATATGTGGCATAAATGTCTTGCTTCCATGACTCAAGAGTGCATATTCTGGTTATTTTCCACAATAATTTTTCAATGGACACCCAAATGTACCCAATACTCATACTCTGAACTTTATAATCAGCCTAACCTAACTATTCTAACTATGTTGCGAGTGCTGTGCATCAAAATCAGCCCTGTTTCCATTCTTATATATATATATTTTTTATAATTTCCAAAAATGTTTCATATGTGCACACACAACATGGCTATTTAACAGTCAGCAGTAAAAGCCTTCGGTCACAGATCATTGTTGTGGATGAA